GTAAGACACGAGAAGTTCACACAAATCATCGCCGAAACGATCGAAAGAGTCTTTCGCATAGATTTTAGACATCTTTTCAACACTTTATATGAATTCAATTCAAAGACAACTTTTGAGACAATTATTTGTCAATAATTTTGAAACAAAGAAAACAAAAGTGTTTTGAAATGAGTTTCAATTTGTGTGAAATAAACGTGTTTTTCATTTACACCAAAAATGTGATCGCATTCTCACTCCCGTCACAAACTCTGTTACGTAATTCATTAAAATCCCTGTTTATATATTTCTATTGAAATATTATTACAGGGGCTGGAAATTCACAAATAACATGTTAGAATTAACAGATTTTATTTAATTTTTATCTTAATTTTTATTGTTATACAAATATTATGTCAAAATTATTCAAACAATTTTTGATTAATAATTAAATTCAAATAAATGCAATTAAATGATACAGTGCAACCTCTCTTAGGGAAACTTTTCTTGGGGGAACACCTCCTTATAAGAAACGGTTTGAAATATTTGTTGAATTTCTTATACACTTGATATCAATCCATTATTTTCTGATCGTTAATCACTAGATGTCGAAGTCGTGGCAAATAGTGGTCAATACCGGCCAAACAATAGTCATTCAATTGCCACAAACATAGTGTTAAATGTGTTAATCGGCGGCTGTTTTTAAGCGCTGATATCAATTGCAATCCATTAGGATCTGTGTAGTCATCGCATCCAATGCTAAGAAACAATCTCTTGAGTCCCCGGATGTGTTGTATTGACTCTAATGTCTGGACAATCGCTTCCATTGAGTTTGAATGAAAACTGAGCGAAAACTTTGCCAATTGTTTGCAATTTTGGCCGATTTTCAACAAAAAATCGGTAAATGTTTGCTCGTATGGAAAGACTAGCGATAGTTCCCGTAATTCTCGCAATTGATCCACAAATTCAATGACAATGTGTTGCGTCTCTTCTGTTCTGCACTCCAGTCGAAGACTCTTTAGTTTGGGATTCTTTGCCACAAATATAGCCATCATTTCACTCGTGAAAATCGTAGGCATAAGGCATTCAAATGTTTGCAAATTTGTGGCCAATATATCAGTTTCGTAATGAAAAATATTCCCCATATTGTTGGCCTTCAGGTGAGACAATCGGTGACACATTTTGAGATAATATCGATCCCGAGTACCGCCCAAAGAGATTGTGGTCATCATTGGGGCCAACATTTGCCAACACTTCGGACCACTACTGAACCAACTATCAATATAAATATCACTGAAACGGTGACAATGGTATCGCAGTGTTTGGATCAATTGCTTCACGTGTTTGCTCTCGTGTCTCGTCATCAATAGTAAGTCAATGGTCCGTACGTTCGGACACTTCTTCGCGATTGTTATCCACGGCTTTAAAGTGTTATGTTTTGGATCGAAGATTCTGTTGACTATGTTTTGATCAAAGCGTATGACCAAAACACTCCTGAAGACTGTCCTCTGGAACTGTTTGGAAAGACATTCGTATAGAAATTGTTCATCAAATGAGAGGTAAGACACGAGAAGTCCACACAAATCATCGCCGAAACGATCGAAAGAGTCTTTTGATAACATTTTAGACATCTTTTCAACACTTTATATGAATTTCTAAACAATATTTGCAAATAATTTACATTAATTTGAAACGAGAAAAACAAAAACTGTTTTGAAATGAATTGTGAAAATTAATGAAATGAATGTCTTATTTATATCTCACATAAAATGTGATTTCAATGTTTAAATCAGTTGATTATCTGCTTCTCATGTGATTTCCTGCAAACTGTGTTTTTATCACAACATATCTAAACATTGTATTAAATCAATACTTTATTAACATTAATTCCTGTATTTCTAATCCTTTAATCCCTCATTCAATCCATATTTTTAATGATTGCAATATTTGTTCACAAATTTCTGACAAAGAAAAAATATTCCAACAATAATTTAAAAATTATAAATATATTTATTGGTGTTCATTAATATTAAATATGAAACTATAATATTTGATATGATACAATCTGTTTAAAAATACATTAATAAAATAAAATTTATGAAAACAATTCATATTATTTTACAAATTCACTTATATTTTAAAATTATTTAAAATAATTTAAAAAATAAAATAAACTAACCATATAGAATATTGTAAATAAAAATGTCTCAATATTTGGATTTATCGCCAGTGCCTTCGTGTCTCTCCAATAGCGACACGACTACCACTTCCATCATTCATGTGCCTCTCGGTTACGACAAGTCCTCTAACGACACGTTCGCCCCAGAGATTCGCGTCTGATTCTCAGATCCTCAACACTTCTTGTAAACGCTTTTTACCACCGATTGAGCTTCAAATACAACAACGCATACAACACTTCTAATGAGATAAGTCATCGACTTTACATACATTGTATATCGACCGCAATAACTGACACCACTATTGTATTGTACAGTAAATTGAATTAAATTCTGCAAATTATCGACGAATATATTTATTTATTTTGTAAATGATGTAAATTTTACCACTCGTGATGATTAATGAATAAATTTTTAATTTACTGTGTTTTTGTAATCTTTATTCATTAAAAAACTGTTTTATATATAAAAACAACAAAAAAATAAAATTTATTCAATAATTTAATTAAAAATATAATCTTATAATACCATTAAACATAACGATTAATCTCAAGGCTCTTTTGATATCTGGAAAACAAGTTATTCAATCATTTGGTAAAACTTTATTTGGATTTAAGGTATTTTTGGGATCAAAAAGTTTCTTAATCTGTTTCATAAGAGCGATGGCTTCGACTGGTTTGGAATATTTGAGGTATGAGTTCTTCATCAAACCCAAGCCGTGTTCGGCAGATATGCTTCCCTTATGTTTGGCAACGTATTCATAGAGGAAGGGCTCGATTGTCGTCTTTATCCGCTTATCAAACGCTTTGGACGTTATATTCAAGTGAAGATTGCCTGCAAAACAGAGAAACATATAAAACAACTAATTGACAGACAATACTGGGTATGGATTTCTCACAGTCGCCAATGTGTCCGTAACCGACAACCTTCAGACAATCCGTATCTTTAAGCCGTTCTCTCATCACTTCAACGATTTCGTAGAAGACATTCAATGGCAGAGAAATATCATATTTATAACTATATCCGTCTCTCAACAGGCCTTCCGCTATGCGTTCTCTATAGGACTTGAGCTTAAGAAAGCGGTTATGATTGTCATCGTTGGCGTACGTGCCGTCACTAATCAGTTGTTCACTCATAAGCTCTTCGATCACTTGAGACAAACGGCTCTCCATGTGGTCCTTGTCGTTGGCGGACAACTCAATCATAGCGTAGAACTCGTTGTGAGAGCCGAGCGGATGGCTTTGCTCCAGATTTTTGACCACCGCTTCCAGAGACAGGGCGTCCATCATCTCAAACGATGTCAAGTATTCGGATAATTGGCGCCGAATTTTGTCGTATATTTTCAACAAATGATCATAACTTTTAAGCGAAAGAAGTGCAACGGTTTGGTGCTTGAGTTTAAGCGGACACAGAATCGACACTTTGGTGATCACACCGAGTGTTCCCTCAGAGCCTAATTATATGGAAGAAACAGTCATTGATTTGATACCCAAACACGAGAATATCACACAAACCAATGAAGAGCTGCTTCAGGTCGTAACCGGTGTTATCTTTTCTCATTTGACTCATCAGATCCAAGACCTGTCCGTCGGGTAACACCACTTCCACGCCTAACACACTTCCGTGCAAAGAGCCGTACCGTATGAACCGAAGTCCGCCGGCATTAGTGGCCAGATTGCCGCCAATCAGACACGAGCCCTTCGCTCCCAAATCGTACGGCATTATAAACCCCCTCTCATTCACGTACTCTTCCAGTGTCTGCAATACGGAACCGCTTTGGGTGACCAGTATTCCCGACGCCGTGTCCAACGACTCGATGGCATTCATTCGGCCCATCAATAGGACGATCTCGTTGTCGATGGGCACAGAGCCGGCCACCAGCGATGTGTTGCCCGATTGGATCACACACTTGAGCCCGCGTTCATTCATGTATGACATTACGGACGACACCTCTTCGGTGCTCTTCGGCCGCAACACTAACTCCGAGTGACCTTTCGTTTCGGTGACAATCAAATAATCAGTGGTTAAGACAATCAATGGTTACGAGAAGTGAGAGGAAGGGATGTAATGGTCGGCGCAAACCTGTGTGAGTCTTCAGCCAATCCGTGTTATAGGCGTCGAGTCCATCGGTTTGGACGCCATTCGGGCCGACAATCGCCCGAAAGGCGGTCACGTCTTCGGCGGTGACACTCGTGTAGCGGCGATATGCGGACCAACTGTGACTGCATTCACGCAAACGAGTCATTAATCGGCCAAACATTGTGTCGTTTATCGGGTTTTATGCGTAAAATATAACACTTTTTTGATTGCAATTAAGAAAACGTCAAAACATTTCAAACACTACTTCAAAAGTGATTCAAAAGTTTTGGTTTTGTTGTCAAAAGTTTTGGCAATATTTGTAAACATGGGAGTCGTCCGCATATAACGTGCCACCAGTTTAGGGGCGAAGTGTGGGCGAAGGGGTGCTCTATATTGTGAGTGATTTGCCGCTTGTATTCAATTGCTAATCAAATCGATCGAAGTTTTCTCATTGAAGGGGCGTTTAGTGTTCACAAAAAGCGTTACGTCTTATGTGAGCGACATTTGTATTGACTCTTAAGATAAGGCTCTCCGCCATAGAAGTGAATGCAAAACATCGATCGTTATTATGAACTAAACACTAATCGACTCAATCATTACATGCATTGGATTTAAACGATTATAACTTTTGACAAACTTTTTGTTAGTTTTGAACCATTTTTACGTTTAAAGTGTTTTGTGTTTCCGTCCCTAAGAGTCTCCGATGTCTTCTTCGGCGGTTAAGATGTCTGCAGACAAACGCAAAACGTTTTCCATTAAAGACAAGTACGACATCTTAATGAAGATCCGGAATGGCGTCAAACGGGATCAACTGTTGCGCGAGTATCGGCTCAAGAGTTACTCTCATTTGACACAACTGGTGAAGAATGAGAAGAAGATAATCACCAAATATGAGTCGACGAGTGGTAGAGACAGCGCGAAGACGTTTAGCGTACGGGAGGCCAAACACCCGAAGGTGGAGAACGCGCTCGTCATGTGGTTGAGCCAAATGGACACCACTTCCAGACACAAAGTCACGTGCGATGAGATCATAGCGAAGGCTCAAGAGTTTGCCGACAGTATGGGTATTGACTTTAAGCCAACCAATGGTTATCTCAATGGATTCAAGAGACGGCACGGACTGGAGCTCGACCTCAAACAGCGCGGCGTCGATACGGCCAGTGATTGGTCGCAACAGTTGAGTCAACAGACCAGCAATTATCTGCCCGAAGAGATCTATATATTGTCCGAAACGGCCCTCTTTTATCGGGCGCTACCGTTTCGGACTAATCCTCATATTATTGGTCCGCTCTCTGCGAAGAAACTAAAGACACCGAAAGATCGGTTGACTCTCGTGTTGGTGACGAATGCCGACGGAAGCGATCGGATGTGTTCACTGATTGGCAAAACCAATAACCCGAGAGGTCTCAAGAGTATGACTGACTGCGAATTGGATTATTACTCTCAACCAAACGCCAGAATCGATGCCACCATTTATAAGAAGATTATTTGCCAATTGAATACCAAAATGAAAGAATTGAATAAAAGAATTGTATTATTTGTGAACAAATCGCGATCTCATTGCCAACAACTGGTCTTATCTAACATTAGTTTTAAGTACTTTCCGGCAAATGTTGAGATTCCGGTTCGTATTGACACCGATTTGTTGTCCTTTAAATCAATTAATCAATTATTTGATTCATTTATTCAGGACATCAACCGATGCTTTAAAATGCAATATAGAAAACAATTGATTGAGTTATTGATGGAGAGGCTGGAGTCGGGACTAGAAGTGACGGGCACTACATGTGATCTCACCATTTGTATGCGTTTGATTGACACATCCCTCAAGAGTATACCAGACGATGAGATAATGGACTGTTTCTGTTGCGCTAAATTTGATTTCATGGTTCACACGGCCGTCAAACTGGAGCCCATCGCCCGCGAAGACTATTCAGTTCTTTGGGAACAATTGAAAATTCTTGTCTCTGATCTTAAATACGATTCGTTTGACGATTTTGTGGCCATCGATGACGACGAGAGCGTCGAATTGGAAAATGAATTGTCTGATCAGCACATTATAGATCTCGTTATCAATACTTCAGACCGCGAATCAGAGTACGTGAGCCTTACTTTACTATCATCTATAATACAGTATTTTATTTCATTTTAATACCATTTCTTAAGTCATTATTAAATTATTATAAGAATTAAAAGACATTTTGTTTAAATGCCAGGAAATCGCGTAAAACTAATGAGAATCAGAATGTCATCAAAAAGTCTGCAATCAATTGTGCGGCAAATCTGGTCAAAGGTCTGAGTTGTGAGCGACAAAATCTGATGTAAGTTATCATATCATTGGACATAATATACAGACAATTAAACTATATTTAAATTGTGTTTCGCCAGCGAATTGGGAGCAAAGATATGTAGTGTCTTAACGCCAGACCTAAGGCATGTGCTCGCGTCGTAAGTCTTAAGATTAGATTTTGATTGAATTCAATAATAATTATATGAATTGTTGTCACGAATTCTCAGCGCAATTACCGGCGAATTGATCGACAAAAGCAAGAATAGCGACCACTCGGACGACGAAGACATTGGATACGAGCGACGGAGTCGTAAACGCAAAGCAACGCAATCCGCACACAATTCACAGCTATCGCTGACACGAGTGGATGGGCCAGAATCGGCGCACCCGTGGCAACTCATCACCTTTCAGTAGTCACTACCACTTCAATACATCCGACAAATTATTATTTTCATTAATGCTTTCCAAATATTATTTATGTAATTATTAGTAAATTGTGGCTAAAATTTTATTGTATTATGTGTTGGGTAGAAATGCTTCATAATTATTATTTTATAAATACTGTATTTAATAAATTTTTAAGTACATTAATAAAACATAGTTTATAAATATATTTAAATTTGAGAAACGTTCGTGACGTTTGTACCAATTAATAAAATATAAGAGATGGCTAATCATTTAAAATTGCCAAACTTTGTGTCAGAGTTGAGGAAAATTCTGTGTTCAAAACATTTCCAGAATATGACTGAACCTCAAAATGCATTCATTTTTAGTATAAAATTCAAACACTTTTTGCTATACAGTTAGAGTTGAGGAATATTTTGGTTTCAAAACATTTCCAGAATATGACTGAACCTCAAAATGCATTCATTTTCAGTATAAAATTCAAACACTTTTTGCTATACAGTTAGAGTTGAGGAATATTTAGGTTTCAAAAAATTTCCAGAATATGACTGAATCTCAAAATACATTTACAAGAAATTTTAAGATATGAAACATTAAACAACAAATAGTCGTAAATATAAATATTTATTAATAATCCGATTACAGAATTGATTCGACAGATAAATGAATGATTTTTTGTTAATTAATTCAAATAATAATCAAATTTGAAACAAA